ATGTTTAATTGGGAAATTTTTATATTTTTTTTTTTTTTTTTTTTTTTTTTAATCTCAGGCCCCTAAAGAACGTGTTTCCTGTGCTGGGGCTGTTTCATGAGCTTACGCTGCTGTCCCAGCTGGAGGGGCTGTCCCATGCCATCCTCCGTAGCCTGTTTTGTGCAAGCGCTTGCGGTCGGGCAGAGCACACCCATGCAGCAGCATGATGAACCCTCCTTCCCTTGGAGCACGCGGGATTTAACTGCTTTGTTGCTGCTCACGTTCCTCCCCGCGCCAAGCTTTGCCTCTCGAAGCACAAGACCGCTCTCAAGACGAGCCGTGCAGCCCGCTCGCAGCGACACCGCTCTCTGCGGCCATCTGTCCGTCTCTTCGGTCTTGTTCAGCTTAATCCAAAATTCGGGCAAGTGCAATAAACTCTTTTATTAATTGTCATGTTAAAGTCCCTAATGTTTAAAAAGAAAGGAAGTGGGTTTCCCTGCCCCCAGAGCGCCTGTCTCGCTGAGGTTTCGGGTCACTGCCGGCGCCGACTGCAGCGACTTCAGATGCAGTATTTTGTGTGTGGTTGCTACTTTCTAGTGCTAGTTGAGAAAATAATCATTCTCGCGAAGTATTTGTGTAGAGATTAAAGCTAAAGAAGCTACGCAGCTTGCTATCCAAAAGCTGATCTACATGAAGAAAACACATACGTGTTGCTGACAGCACATCGCAGCAAAGGGTGTAATTGAACAGGCTCTGAAAAAGGCTTAATTCTAAATATAGAGGACCACGCTACACTCAATACTGTTTTGGAAAGCGTGGCTGAGCGATCATTATGTATCTTCCCCTCCTCCACCTATGCCGCAGGGTGTCAGAGGATGAAGTAAATGTTACTGTTTCGCTTTCTTGGTTTATTTTTGGTTTAAATCTAGTAGGTTTTTCTGGGGTAGGATGTGTCCTGATTTTAAGGTGAAGAGCAGGTCTGCTGCTGCTTACGCTGCCATGTCACTTAGGAATCTAAATGGGCGTAGATTGTTTTTTATACTTAAAAAAAGATTTCTGTGTAATCTGAGCAAAAGACTGAGATGTATTTAACGGAGCTGGCCAGTATTGTTCCGGCAGGTATAGGTGCTTTATGATGTTGCAGAGGCAAGCAAGGGAGCTGGCAGTTTGGACGTGCTCTCGGCAGCTTTTGATATTTCTAAAAACAATTCCTAATGCTACGTGGATCCCCAGAGAGCAAACTGAAGTCTGCTGAGATCTGGCTTGGAGTCCTAAACTTTCCTGGGGTCCGGATAGTCTAGTGCATCCACAGATGCTAAAGATGCCATAAAAGCAGACACAGCCGTTGCAGAGGTCTTTCCTATTTGTAAGCCATAAAAAAAAATGAACTCTTCTCCAGTAAAATTGTTCTTAGCTTCTGAAATGAGAATTTCACTGAAACTTGGCTGGCAGAGAAGTAACGTGTTCTGGAAAGTCTTGTGGGAAACTACGACATGAAAACACTGTCAATCTTGTGGGTGATTGAGTCAGAGAAGCGCCGCTTTTCCAGCAGTGCTCGAGAGAAACCTCTCTGTGCGATAAGATCTGCTTCCCAAACACTGCTTTTCTACCCTCCGGGGTGTCATGGAGGGGATTTCGTGCCATTTAGGCTCAGACTGGAGATCCCGCGCGGGGAGGAGGGACCGTAAAGCTTGCAAGGCGTTATCCTCCTTGGAACAGAGCAAAGCATGACTGGGCGGGAGATCTGGGTTAGAGCTGCTTGATGGGGTGATGCTGGGGTGGTGTGGGCAACTGCTCAGCCCAGTGTAAACCAGATTAACCCTCTGGTCACTCTGCCTGGCGGGTAAGGTATGTCAGAGCTTTACCCAGCCCCGGTGCTCAGCTGCCTCGGCTGCCTTTTGTCTTGGGCTCTGCTGGCTGTATCCTCGGTGTAACTGATGAAGATCTGTCCTCGCTTTGGCATCTATCTACAATAAATACTAAAATTTACATGAAACATAAGGTCAGTGTTGATCAAAACAGAGCAGGTGCTTTACACAAGGAAATAGTCCAGAGAGAAGGACTTAAGTTCCTTCAAAGTGCTTTGAAAATGGCCTTGGAGAGAGCTGGGAGGCAGCGGATACAATTGCCCGTTTTGGTGGAAATCTGGCCTCGTCTAAATTGGCATTGAAGCGACATCGCCCACGCAGCCGGGAGGTCCACCAAGAATATGGAGAACGTGTCTTATTCTAAGTTTGTGGGTTTCGCTTGGAGTTCAAAGGAACCAACTCCTCCTTTTCAGGGTATTTCTATTAGGTGATTTGAAACTTGTAATAACCCTGGTGCTTTTTTTTTTTTTTTTTTTTTTTTGGGAAAGTGCCTTTGGTAGGATGGTGCC